TGAAGAGCCCGATACAGGGCTTTATCTTATGACCCTAATATCATGACCTGAGCTGAGATCAAGATCAGTTGCTTAACTGGCTGAGCCACCCAGGCACCCCTGTTCAGAGTTGTTTTGTGACCTAATGGTCTGTTTTGGCAAATGTTCCTTGTGAGCTTGAGAACGGTATGTATTCTGTTATTATTGGGTAGATTTTTCTGTATATGTTAATTCCAGATGTTCGTGGTGTTGTTTATGACATTCATTTCATTACTGACTTCTGCCTTGTTGTTCTGTTTGTTATTGAAAGTGGGGCATTGAAGTCTCCAATGATTATTTTTGAGTTCTCTATTTCTCACTTAATTCAGTGCAGTCAGTTTTTGCTTGATATGTTTGGTGGCTCTGTTATTGGGCTCTTAAATGCTTCTCATTTTATATTTTGATGAGATGACCTTTTAATCTGCATATAATACACTTCTTTGTCTCTTTTAACAATTTTTTTCTTAAAGTATGTTTTGTCTTTTATTAGTACAGTGATTCCTGCTCTTCTTTTGCTTACTGTTTTCATGGAATATCTTTTCCTGTCTTTTAACTTTCAACTAATGTTTGTCTTTGGATCTAAAATGGGTCTTTTGTAGACATGCTTTTATATCCATTCTACCAATCTCTGCCTTTTACTTATTTATTTTTACATAATTTTATCTCTTTAATGTAAATAAAATTTCATTTACCAAGAACTTGAAACTTGCCCTAGATAGGCCAGGAAAATGCTTCCCTGAATAATACAATCTCTGCCTTTTAAATGAAGAATTCAGTTCATTTACATTTGATGTAATTAATGATAAGGTAAGATTTCAGACATTTTTCTCTGGTTTCTTTATGTCTTATATCCTTTTTGTTACTCAGTGACTCCATTACTGTCATTTTTGTAACATTTTGATTCCTTTTTGTTTCTTCTACAATATATATTTTAGTAGTTTTTCTAGTGGTTGTCCTATTGATTATATTTAACATCTGTTTATAATAATCTAGATGAATTAATACTCACTTAACTTTAGTAGTATACAAGAATTTTGCTCCTATTTACCTCTGCTCCCCCCTTTATTTTATTATTGTCACAAGTTATATCTTTATACATTGTTTGCCAAATAAATATGAACTTACATATTTTTATGCAGTTGTCTTTTAAATCATATAAGAAAAATGAGTATAAGAGAACATTAATACTGGCTTTATATTTACATTGTAATCCTTGCTGGTTCTTTATTTCTCCATGTGAATTTAATTTGGTGTCTAGTGCCTTTTCTATTGCATTTTATCTATTGCAGTTTTGTATAATGTTTTAGTTGTACTAGAGAGTACAAAACACAATCTTAACTTGTAGTCTATTTAAAGATTTTATTTATTTATTTGATAGACAGAGATTACAAGTAGTCAGAGAGACAGGCAGGCAGAGAGGAGGAAGCAAGCTCCCCGCTGATCAGAGAGCACAATGTGGGGCTTGATCCCAGGACCCCGAGACCATGACCTGAGCTGAAGGCAGAGGCTTTAACCCACTGAGCCACCCAGGCGCCCCTTATAGTCTATTTAGAATCAATATTTTATCAGTTAAATTGGAGTGTAGTTTTATGACCATATTGGTACTCTTTTTACTTTTCCTCCTTCATACTGCATTTGTCTTACATATTACATTTTCATTTATTGAACACTTTACCAACTAAGTATATTTGTTTTCAACAATCAAATTATTCTAAAGACTCAGGAAGAGAAGAATAACCTGTTTTGATTTGTCCAGATGTTTACGACTTCTTTTCATTTCCTCTTTTTTCATTTCTTATGTTCCATGTTTCCTTCTGTTTTCATTTCTCTTCTCTCTGAAGAGCTTCATTTGTTATGGATCAGACCAGCTGTCGGTGGAGGCAATTAGTTTTCCTTCATTTGTGAATGTCTTTATTTCAAACCTCCATTTCTGAAGAATTTCTTTGCTAAATATCCAATTATACCTTTTCTCTGCTTTTTAAAATCTTTGGCCACTTCCTTCCAGCTTTACTGATGCCAGTCTGTTTTTCAGATCTTTGTCTCTTTATAGGCAATGTGTTGTTTTCCTTTGACTTTTTTTCAAGAGTTTTTTTTTAATTTGTCTTAAGTTTTTATCATTTTTATTATGATCTATCTAGACATATCTTGTTTGGGGTTTGCACAGCTTTTTATATCTACAGGCTTGTGTCTTTTGCCACATTTGGGAGTTTGCAACCATTATTTAAGTATCTTTTCAAGATGACACTCTTCTGTCTTCTGAGACTCTGATGAATTGTATGTTAGACTTTATTAATGTTGTTCCACATAATCGTGAGGCTCTGTTCATTTTTTTCAATCTCCTCCTCCCCTGTTTTGTTCATATTGGATAATTTCTGTTGCTCTTTTTTCAAGTTCATGGACTCTTTCCTCTGTCATCTTCATTCTGCTATTGAGTCTATCCACTGAGTGTTTTATTTTGGTTACTTTCAATTCTAAAATTCTCCTTTCATTTTTCCTTATATTTCTATGTTCTATAATACATTTCTTTGTTGATAATTTATACTTTAATTTTGTTTCAAGATCTGTAATTGTTCTCTTGAGCATTATAAAAGTAGCTGCTTTAAAGGCTTTTTTTCAGGTAGTTCCAACTTCTCTGCCATGTCACCATTGCTATCTGTTGATTTTCTTTTCCTGTGCAACCTGAGACTTGTGGTTTCTTGTAAGCTGAATAATTTTGGATTACATTCTGGACATATGTATAGTAAACTATGAGACTCTGAGTTCTGTTTTTAAGTCCTATGGGGAATTGACCTGGCAATTGACCTGGCTATAGGGTTGCCAGATTTAGCAAATAAAATATAGGATACCCAGTTAAATATGAATTTCAGATAACGTATGGATATTTTAGTACAAGTATGTACCCCCAATATATTTGTTATTTATATGAAATCCAAATTTAACTGAACCTCCTGTATTTTATTTGGCAGCCCTTCTTGGTTAGGTTTAAGCCACAAGTTCCATCCCATCTCTGTGGGCTGTGGTTTCAATGTCAATTCAGTTTTTTTTTTAAATTTGTAATTTTTTATTTGAGAAATTGACAGTCACTTCATGCACGGGAACAATATAAGAACCATTTTTTAGGACACGTTAAACCATCGTCTTATTTATTTATTTATTTATTTTTGAAGTATAGTTGACACACAATGTTACGTCAGTTTCAGGTGTACAACATAGTGATTCAGCAACTTTTTATTTTATACTATGCTCACTATACGCATAGCCATCACCTGTCAGTATACAATACTATTAAAATACCATTGACTGTGTTCCCTATGTTGTACCTTTCATCCCTGTGAGTTATTCATTCCATAACTGGAAACACTCCCCCTCACCCACTTTTGCCCATTTCCCCATCCTCCTCCCCTCTGGGAAGCACCGCTTTGTTCTCCATTTTTATGGGCCCGTTTCTGCTTTGCTTGTTTTGTTTTGTTTTTCAATTCCACATACAAGTGAAATCACATGGTATTTGTCTTTCTCTGTCTGACACATCTTACTTAGCGTAATTTCCCCTAGGTCCATCCATGTTAATCACTGTCAGTTCAGTTTTTTTTAAACTGTGCTGTTCTATCTGGATCTTCCTGGGTCTTAGTCTTACAGCTCACTCATCAAAATGATTAGTATGCTAACTGGGATGAGATCAATTTATGTTCAGGCCAAGGCTGAGCTCCTCCTATTCCTATCTCTCTCCTGTACCTTTAGGTTCTCTGAGGCAGTATTCATTTTGATCTTCTGGCCGGAAACTGCCTTTACCGTGAATGTTTGCCACCAAAAATTCAGAAGCACTTGAGGTGCTTCTCCTTGCTGCAGTCCCTGATTACTCTTTCTGGTTCACTCACTGAAAGCATGTGACACCTTTTAGTACTAATGCAATACACACCACATCCTTCTGCCCCTTTAGTATGTCTTGAAGTCCAGTTCTGGTTTTGAAAGCCCTATGAGACTGTTAAAAGTGATACATTTATGAAGGCAGTTCTGGCACATGGTGCAATATGGATAAACTTCGAAGACATTTTATGCTAAGTGAAATAAGCCAGTCACAAAAGGACAAATACTGTCACAATGAAGTAATTCCACCTATATGAGGTACCTAAAGGAGTCAAATTCATAGGTATGGAAAGTGGAATGATGGTTGCCAGTGACCAGGGAGAGGAAGGAATAGAGAGTGATTGTTTAGTGGCCATGGAGTTTTAGTTTGGGAAGATGAAAAAATTTCTGGGAATAGATAATGGTGATGGTTGCACAACAACGTGAATGTGATTGGTGTCCTTGAACTGTATAATTAAGCATGGTTAAAGTGGCAGATCTTACTTTCTGTATATTTTATCAGAGTTTTTAAAAAGGGCATAGTAACAAATCACTCCAGGGGAATACGTTATAAGGTAAGTACTGTGATTTTTCTGATTTTACAGATGATAAGCAGCTATAGGTTATTTTGCTCAAAATTTTACAGCTTGTGAGAGAGTTAGGATTTGAACTCAAATAGCCCAACTTTAGATCAATTACTGTACTATTCACACCATGAGGAAAGGATCACAATTGTTTTGAATATACTTAATGCCTAGCATAGAATATGGCACAGAGTAGATATTAAATAGGAAGCTCTCAGAATTATAATTTGTAGGAATTTATCTCAGAGCCAATCAGAATGATAATTGACATTCCAAATTTACAGTTTACGTCTTTCTTTGTGAATGTGGGGCTGCAACCTATTACATTTTGCATCTCTGTCATCTAATATTTTCATACATATTAGAAGACCATTAGATGTGAATATAATGAACTAATATAAAAATAGGAGCAGACGAATACTTATTTCAAGATTGATGAAAAAAGAATAAAACCATGAAGTAATCCTTTCAGTTGACTAAATTTAACATTTTTGCCAGGTGATGTAAGTTTTTGAAATGTTTACTTCCCGTTGAAATTCCATTCTTTGTGATAAAATGGACTTGTTGTGGCTCAACCAATTTGCAGTCCTCCTCTGGAAAAATTTCGTTTTAAAGGTAAGTGGAGGTGTCTGTGGGAAATGATTGTAAAGGCTAATGAACCTGAAGGGGAGAACTTTAAATAGTTTTTTCACTTCATTTTAGTTTATGGGGGTTTTTTTGGTCCTTTTTGTTCCATGGCTTAATGTAGCAATTCTAATTCTGAAGAGTACTCATAGGATATATCAATAGAATAGATAATGAAATGTTGAAAAGGGTGAAAAAGGCTAGAAAGCCATTCATATTGTAGAACGGAGTTGAACAATATGTTTAAATTGTATACACATATATGCACAAGAGTATAGAATCACACACAGATACAGGTATATAGACTCTTAATTATCACAATCCTTTTGTTTCTTTTGCAGAAAAGGAAGATACTTTCTTTAGTTGTGGAAATCTGCATGACAGTCTTCTTCTCTCTATTGATTTTGCTTTATCGCAGCAATATAAAGAAGACGTTTCACAATGTCACGGTTTTCCGTCCTTTGCTTTTGATGTCCCCGCCTGATTTCATGTTTAAGGGGAACCTTGAATATGAATTAGCTTATGTGCCTTCCAAAAGTGATGTGGTAAAAAATATTACTGAGATGGTGAAAAACACATTAAATATCAATTTTACAGGTTAGAAATTGTGATGTCTAAAATGTTTTTTGTAGGGATGCCTGGGTGGCTTAGTTGGTTAAGCATATGCTTTTGGGTCAGGTCATGATCCCAGGGTCCTGGGATGGAACCCTGCATCTGGCTCCCTGCTCTTCTGGGAGCCTGCTTTTCCCTTTCCCTTTCTTTGCTACCCCTTCCCCCAACTTATATGCTCTCTTTCTCTCTCTCTGTAAAATAAATAAAAATCTAAAAAAATTTTTTTTGGTAGCATAATTATTAGCTTCTTTTTGAAGAGACATACTTCAGTGAGCATAAACTTGTGCATTAATCTCCTGAATATAATAATATGAGCTCTGTCACATAATATCAGACATATTCTTGTCATAGTCATAAACAAAATATATTTAAAATTAGATGATGAAATTATGTAATTGTAAATCTTTGTCTCTGACTGCATTCTTAAACTAGGGTCAGCACTTAGTAGTGTACCAAAGAGACACAGAACGTCAGGATGACTTGAGTAGTTTCTTCTTGAATGCATGCATAAACTCTACCTTGAGATTGTTAATTTTACACATTTTAATGAAACTATTACTTAAGTGTGATATATGAATGCATTTGAAAAGAGTAAAACAGCGTAGAATTATACCAGAGCAATCCTCATTGCCTTACAGTCGCCTCCCTCTGCACCTGTTTCTCTTCTCTGTCTCCAATGTTAAAAACACTGTCAGAATTTTGGTAAGCATCTCTCCCATCTTGTCTCATGATTTTACACGTGTGTGTGGGTTTATTCTGTTACATACTCACACAATTTTGTATTTATTTTTCTCATTTTAAGGGCAGGGCTTTGAGATGGGAAGGATAGAAACTATATATTTACTTTGCTATCTTAAAAACCATCTTTAAAAAATAAAGCTTTATATTGTATAACTTAATGCAAAATTCCCATGGATTTTAAAATTAGAGATGAATCTCCAAAGAACATTAGTGCTTGTGGTGGGCTTAAAGTTACCTTTTTAACTATCCCTTTATGTGAAGGTGGGGAATAGAGAACAGGCTGCTGTGCTCTCATGGGAAAGTCTAAGAGATATTGTTACTCTGTCATAAAGCCTTCATGAGAAAGTATGTCTGAAGAATGGAGTAGAAATCTGATGCATTGAAAGTCCGTGGCGGCATTTGTTAATTAATGTCTAATAGAGTAAAGTGCTAATTTAAAGGGAAGGAAGCTGAGAAATTTTCCTCCTCTTGATTGGGCCAGACACCTTGTTCTAGTTTCTGTTGAACCATTTCTAGCAAAATAGCTCAGAAGATTTGAGAGGATATGTGTAAAAGTCTTCATTTGGAAAACTTCCATATTCAGATTATAATCTACTCTGAAGAATTATAACTTCTTTTTTTAAATTAACATATAATGTATTATTAGCCCCAGGGGTACAGGTCTGTGAATTGCCAGGATTACACACTTCACAGCACTCACCATAGCACATACCCTCCCGAGTGTCCATAACCCCACCACCCTCTCCCTACCTGCCTCCCCCTGGCAACCCTCACTTTGTTTTGTGAGATTAAGAGTCTCTTACGGTTTGTCTCCCTCCTGATCCCATCTTATTTCATGTATTCTTTTCCTGCACCCCAAACCCCACCCCCTCCATTGCATCTCCACTTCCTCATATCAGGGAGATCACATGATAGTTGTTTTTCTCCGATTGACTTATTTTGCTAAGCATAATACCCTCTAGTTCCGTCCATGTCATTGCTAATGGCAAGATTTCATTTCTTTTGATGGCTGCATAGTATTCCATTGTATATATATGTATATACCACATCTTCTTTATCCATTCATCTGTTGATGGACATCTAGGTTCTTTCCATAGTTTGGTTATTGTGGACATTGCTGCTATAAACATTCAGGTGCATGTGCCCTTCGGATCACCACATTTGTATCTTTAGGGTAAACACCCAGTAGTGCAATTGCTGGGTCGTAGGATAGCTCTGTTTTCAACTTTTTGAGGAACCTCCATGCTGTTTTCCAGAGTGGTTGCACCAGCTTGCATTCCCACCAATAGTGTAGGAGGGTTCCCCTTTCTCTGCATCCTCACCAGCATCTGTCATTTCCTGACTTGTTAATTTTAGCCATTCTGACTAGTGTGAGGTGGTGTCTCATTGCGGTTTTGCTTTGTATTTCCCTGATGCCAAGTGATGTGGAGCACTTTTCATGTGTCTGTTGGCCATCTGGATGTCTTCTTTGCAGAAATGTCTGTTCATGTCTTCTTCCCATTTCTTGATTGGATTATTTGTTCTTTGGGTGTTGAGTTTGCTAAGCTCTTTATAGATTTTGGATACTAGCCCTTTATCTGATATGTCATTTGCAAATATCTTCTCCCATTCTGTCAGTTGTCTTTTGGTTTTGTTAACTGTTTCCTTTGCTGTGCAAAGGCTTTTGATCTTGATGAAATCCCAACAGTTCATTTTGCCCTTGCTTCCCTCGCCTTTGGTGATGTTCCTAGGAAGAAGTTGCTGCCTGTTTTCTCCTCAAGGATTTTGATGGATTCCTTTCTCACATTGAGGTCCTTCGTCCATTTTGAGTCTGTTTTCATATGTGGTGTAAGGAAATGGTCCAATTTGATTTTTCTGCATGTGGCTGTCCAGTTTTCCCAACACCATTGGTTGAAGAGGCTTTTTTCTTTTTTTAAAGATTTTATTTATTTATTTGACAGAAAGATCACAAGTAGGCAGAGAGACAGGCAGAGAGAGAGGGGGAAGCAGGCTCCCCGCTAAGCAGAGCCTGATGCGGGGCTCGATCCCAGCATGACCCGAGCCGAAAGCAGAGGCTTAACCCACTGAGACACAGGCGCCCCAAAGAGGCTGTCTTTTTTCCAATGGACATTCTTTCCTGCTTTGTTGAAGATTAGTTGACCATAGAGTTGAGGGTCTATTTCTGGGTTGTCTATTCTGTTCCATTGATCTATGTGTCTGTTTTTGTGCCAGTACCATACTGTCTTGATGATGAGAGCTTTGTAATAGAGCTTAAAGTCTGGAATTGTGATACCGCCAACTTTGGCTTTTTTTTTTTTTTAATATTCCTTTGGCTATTCGAAGTCTTTTCTGGTTCCATATAAATTTTAGGATTATTTGTTCCATTTTTTGAAAAAAATGGATGGGATTTTGATAGGGATTGCATTAAATGTGTAGATTGCTTTAGGTAGCATAGACATTTTCATAATATTCGTTCTTCCAATCCATGAGCATGGAACATTTTTCCATTTCTTTGTGTCTTCCTCAATTTCTTTCATGAGTACTTTATAGTTTTCTGAGTATATATTCTTTGCCTCTTTGGTTAGGTTTATTCCTAGGTATCTTATGGTTTTGGATGCAATTGTAAATGGAATTGACTCCTTAATTTCTCTTTCTTCTGTCTTGTCGTTGGTGTAAAGAAATGCAACTGATTTCTGTGCATTGATTTTATATCCTGACACTTTACTGAATTCCTGTACAAATTCTAGCAGAGTTGGAGTGGAGTCTTTGAGTTTTCCACATATAGTATCATATCATCTGCAAAGAGTGATAGTTTGACTTCTTCTTTTCCAATTTGGATGCCTTTAATTTCTTTTTGTTGTCTGATTGCTGAGGCTAGGACTTCTGTTACTATGTTGAATAACAGTGGTGATAATGGACATCCCTACTGTGTTCCTGACCTTAGTGGAAAAGCTCTCAGTTTTTCTCCATTGAGAATGCTATTTGCGGTGGGTTTTTCATAGATGGCTTTGATAATATTGAGGTATGTGCCCTCTATCCCTACACTTTGAAGAGTTTTGATCAGGAAGGGATGCTGTACTTTGTCAAATGCTTTTTCAGCATCTATTCAGAGTATCATATGGTTCTTGTTCTTTCTTTTATTAATGTGTTGTATCACATTGATTGATTTGCGGATGTTGAACCAACCTTGCAGCCCTGGAATAAATCCCACTTGGTCGTGGTGAATAATCCTTTTAATGTACTATTGGATCTTATTGGCTAGTATTTTGGTGAGAACTTTCACATCTGTGTTCATCAAGGATATTGGTCTGTAATTCTCTTTTTTGATGGGATCCTTGTCTGGTTTTGGGATCAAGGTGATGCTGGCCTCATAAAATGAGTTTGGAAGTTTTCCTTCCATTTCTATTTTTTGGAACAGTTTCAGGAGAATAGGTATTAATTCTTCTTTAAATGTTTGGTAGAAAACCCCTGGGAAGCTGTCTGGCCCTGGGCTTTTGTTTGTTTGGAGATTTTTTCTTAAGATGATTATTATTATTATTTTTTATTTCTTTTCAGCATAGCAGAATTCATTGTTTTTGCACCACACCCAGTGCTCCATGCAATACGTGCCCTCCTCAATTCCCTCCACCTGGCTCCCCCAACCTCCCACCCCCGCCCCTTTAAAACCCTCAGATTGTCCATAGTCTCTCATGGTTCACCTCCCCTTCCAATTTCCCTCAACTCCCTTCTCCTCTCCATCTCCCTACGTCCTCCATGTTATTTGTTATGCTCCACAAATAAGGGAAACCATATGATAATTGACTCTCTCTGCTTGACTTATTGCACTCAGTATAATCTCTTCCAGTCCCGCCCATGTTGCTACAAAGTTGGGTATTAATCCTTTCTGATGGAGGCATAATACTCCGTAGTGTATATGGACCACATCTTCCTTATCCATTCGTCCGTTGAAGGGCATCTTGGTTCTTTCCACAGTTGGCGACCATGGCCATTGCTGCTATAAACATTGGGGTACAGATGGCCCTTCTTTTCACTACATCTGTATCTTTGGGGTAAATACCCAGGAGTGCAATTGCAGGATAATAGGGAAGCTCTATTTTTAATTTCTTGAGGAATCTCCACACTGTTCTCCAAAGTGGCTGCACCAACTTGCATTCCCACCAACAGTGTAAGAGGGTTCCCCTTTCTCCACATCCTCTCCAACACATGTTGTTTCCCGTTGAGATCAGGAACACGATAAGGATGCCCACTCTCACCACTCTTGTTCA